GAATCATGTTTTAATAATATTTCTAATTGTTTTTGTACTCATCCATTGTTGTAATTAGAAGTAAAGGTATACATTTATTATCAACTTCTTTTACAATATAATAGTGTTGTCGAAATATTGAGCACTTGCTTATAAAAGAAAATTGTTATAACAGTTCCGAAGTCTTGTACAATAGATAATTCTTTAACAATAATAATGATGTTGACAACATAGCAACAATTACTCACAAACATAATTGTCATAACCATTCCGAAGTCTTATACAATTGATTATTCTTGAACAATAAAATGATGTTGTAAACATAGGAATTACTTAAAAACAAATTTGTCATATACAACTTGAAGTATAACTCGTTTTATGCAGTTGATAATCTATTTATTTTGAAATATATAACTTTAAATTAACTAATGTATTCACTGGATGTAATTACCTGGAATACAAAACACAGCTACCGAAAATATTCAAATACAACAATGATGCTTGTATATTATGTGTTAAACATTTATCAATTTTCCCATACAAATTGCATAAACAAATACTTCTTAATTGTTATTATCAATAGATTGTTATGAATATTATAAATTAATTTGCTGTGCTTATAAAACAAAATACTCTATTTTTCATAATATCACTGTAATTATGGAATTTGTTTTATATTTATAAATTTTCATATGAAAATGTTTTAGTTTCATGTTATAATAAACATATTTATTAATATGTGAATGGTTCGAAATAATTACAAAAAATAGAGTTAATTTCAACACTGGTTTGATGATTTTATTCTATTTTTTTGTTATATTAGTTTTTAATAATATTAAAGGGGTTTTCTAGTGTAGAGCGATGAATTTCAGGTCATTTTTAAAGTGTCGTAAAAGATAGCGATGAATGTTTTTACTATCCATTTTTTACCACTTGTTTATTAATATTATTAAAATACAAAACAAAAATTAAAAAATTAAAAAATTGAAAATTATAAAAACTGGCAGCTGATGAAGTGGGTGGTCTCAAAAACTTGGCACCTCAGTCTTGACATGATTTCAGCCCTCCTAGCCATCTGAAATAAAAGAAATAAAAAGATTATGAATCTACAATGATGTCACAATCGGCCGAAATAGCGATGAGTAAAAAATGTTTTTTTTACAAATTGGCGACTGTTTGAAAAAAAAGTGTTTTTTTATGTTTTTTTTTTTTGTTTCTCGAATTTTTTAAAAATTGGAATTTGGCGATAATTCTAGTTCGGGCTATAGATAGGTCTATAAACAAGACTCTCTGAACATTTCAAGTGAATCGGTCGAGTAGAACTTGAGAAATCGTGTCAACAGTACTGAAAAAGTCTGTTCTGATTGTGAGAAAAACGCATTTTAAGTTTTGCGTGGAGCCAGACCAGTATGAAGACCGAGTCAGTAAAATGCCTATATCTCCGAAAATAATTCAAATGTTCAAAAACCTTCTCGTACCCATATTCTTAGATAGTTAAACTTTGAAAATATTAAATAAAAAAAATCGATTTTTATGAATTTCTACACTAGAATACCCTCTTAATAATATTGAAGTACTGTTAGTATCATCTATACTAAAATCGACTATTATTGAAACAAATTGCGAAAATCTCTATGTATGATAATATAAAATTTGTAGTTCAGAGGGCTAAACGTACTTTTGAATAGTTTAATTTCATTTATTTATTATTCATTGAATTTTTTTTTAATAATGAATTATCATTTTTTATTCTATGATTTTTTCAACTATCGTAAGAGGACAACAAATAAAATTTAAGGAATAAAAATTCACATTAAAAATACAAACTCATCTGATCATTGACTCTTTTTTTTTCTCATAGAAATCTATACCATAAGTACATTTAGCTACAATTGTAGACAATTTAATATGATGGCGTGTGAAGAATAACTATCCTATTATAGCATCTTCTGTTATTATTGTATAATTTTTTTAAATGTCATGTAATAAATTACTACAACTTCTTTTCATCGATAGCAATAATCGATGTAACTATTTGTAATTGGCATAATTTACAATAATCTACTCATAAATATGTTTATGATGTGCATGTCATCAATACATGTTTTTTTAACACCTTTTATTTTTCCTTAAATTTGTGATCAGTCGAGTTGTTGCAAGCCACAAGTTGTTCAAGTAGGACTGATAACATATTTCTGCGTTATCAATGAGTTATAATGTTGATTTAAGATTACGCACCTTGCGATACAAACGCGCCTTTAATTTTATTATCAATTTACTATGTAGGGCATAAATCTACTACGTTGCGTTGATTGTTGTAATTTCTTGGTCTAATTCAAATTAATGATTATCCTTCTAAGGTTTATTTTAGGTTACAATCCAAATTCATTTAGGTGCAATGTGAAGAAACACTGATGATCTCACACGAAGAACTTAATTTTCTAAAACAACCCTATTTTAAAACAGTTTCACTGTCAATTGGTCTGCGATACTCTATATTTGCCATAAAAGCTTATAAAAGTACACGAACAAATCTCATCTTTGAATATATGGTGCGCTTTAATTTATGAAATGTACTATAAGGGGATATTAATTTCCTTGAATTTGCTGCAAACATATTTAGTGAGAATTTGTTTTTGTACTTTTCCCATGCGAACTTGGTCACATTAGCACCTTGTTTTATATCATGTCCAATAAAGCTTATCACCTGCAAAGCAAATATCGTATCATATTCTTGTTATTATTAAATACGTATGAGCAGTCGTATTATTTTCATAATATATTTTAAGAGTAAGTGTTAATTTTCATGACGCGATTCAAGTGGTTTTATTGCTTTGGGTAATGCATTCAAATGTTATGGTAGATCGCGACTATCGAAACGCTTTCATATAGCCGCGATTATTTATGTAATATTACCGTGTTTATTATTTGATTCATTATTATTATCGGCTCCTACTTAAGTCTTTTTGGCCACATACTTTTATTTATTTTTTCTGATCAATTATATTTTTTATGCTATTATGCTATTGATATATAATATCAATTACATTTGAGCTGGTTATGAAGTTGATATCAATTCTCATTTCAAGTAAAAGATTTGAATTATATCAAGTGAAAATATCCTTACGAGGGCATTGCTGCAATATATATATATATATATATATATATATATATATATGCAGAGGTTTATCAAATGTAATCTCAACAAAAAATAACTGGTCAAACACTGGGTGTTGTCTTCTATAAAAGCTGTGTTCACTAATTATGCAATAGTGCATATAACGAATAGCTCACATGCTCAATTATTTAACTTTTTATGCAATTGTCTTTTTGTGTGTAAAAAGAATTCGAACCCAAGTTCCCTATCATGTTATCTAAGTATGCAACTATTTTTCGGTTTTTAAATATTTTCTGCAAAACTGTATGTAGCACATCAGTTTATTCGTGGGCAATAATTGATCAAGTAAAGAATCATGATAAAATAATAAAATATTTAAAAATACAAGATCTATCCCATAGCAGTTGAAAATCGCAGAAAAATTCGATATAATCTGTTTCGCATTTTTGCATTTCAATATTCATCAATTCATGCAATATTTTATTTGTTTTTTTGCGAGAAGTTGGAATAAAAATTAACCACTCTCGTGGATATTCTTTCTTAATATTCAGTTAATCGAATGGTTAAAAATGTCGCCCATTACTTAATCAGGAAAGTTTCTTCTTTCTATTTTCTTCAGTCAATTTTAGTTACGTCGTTCCCAATTGAAATGCCATTTTCTATGAAATGAATATCAAACCTGGAATATTTTATTGAAATCTCTAAGCTATAACCATTAATCCCTGAAGGGGAGCTTTCCTCGTTTATATTTACTTTTCTAGATCATCTGAACTTTTTTCAAACTTAAAGAATGTATGTATGGATTTGATATCTTTCTTTTTGAAATTTGATTAAGACGATAATTAGATATATTTAAATTTAAGAAAATATTTATAGTTGTATGTTTTTTTTCATAAGTGCTTTGATTTTTATGCATATTAGTGCAATTTATTGAAAAAACTTTTTTTCACATTCGCATTGGTATGTGAACGACACTGAGTCATCTTGTCTCTATCTTGCAAAATAATCTCAACTGCGATATAAATTCTTGCGGTTATCGCTGGAAATCAATAACTAATATACAAATTCAATTGGTTTACGGAACGATCGTAATTAAATTCGAAATGGATGATAGACGAATATCATTAAGGAAAAGAATGTGTATCTAACGAATACCGTAAACGTATGATTAATTATTACATCATAGCACTACGCTTTTCAATTAAGACTGGAAAAAACAGGCACTTGCCTTTGCTTACTAGCGAAGAAATTTTGTTGAAGTCATAATATTAAGAAACTTGATTGATTTTTATGTAAAAATTGTGCAGTAGATAAAAATTAAAGAACTTAGAAATTTTAATGAAATGCAGATTGCTATCATGAATCAAAAACTAATTATTCCAACATTTGCGGTAGTATTTTTGTATTGTGATTTGGATTCAAAGTTGCACTTTATTATAGCATACAGACTCTCCAAAATTCGTTCCTATTTCGACGTGTTATTTTTCTATATTTTTATTCTAGATATATTAGAGTTCAGGATTAATATAATCCGTATATAATTTGCAACAAAAATACCTAGTATAATTCGAATATAATGGAATCTGAAAATTATTGGGTTGTCATTTCTCTTGCCTCCTATATGTATACATGCCAAAATGTTTTCTGTATTTCATATATTTAGTCTCTATTTTTTATCCTCTACGTATGAATTTGACCATATAAACTTATATAATTGTTTCAAAATGTGCGCACACTCGTGACCTACTGTTAATCTAATTATTCTCACAATACTTTATTATCCCTAGGAAAAGAAATAAGCTAATTTTAAAAAAAATCTATAGTTTATCAGTCGGATGCTTATTTAAAAGTAATGTGTATAAGTTTAAAAAGTATGTGCATTTATCAATTTTTTTTATTATAGACTGTGCAACACGGCTTTCCAAATAAACCATCAGCTCTAGCATGGGATCCAGAATTACGATTGATGGCTTTGGGAACTATGTCTGGAGCCGTCAAAGTTTTTGGCCGACCAGGAGTAGAATTCTATGGACAACATTCAAATCCAGATTGCTTAGTGCTAAGAATTGTTTTTATACCAGGTTGTTAAAATATTTTTTTAATAATATGAATATTTTATATCTTAATATTAAAATTTGTATGTTTTGTTCATCAGGTGCTGGTCGCTTAGTATCACTGTGCGCTGACAATTCGTTGCATTTGTGGGAGATAAACGAATCTTCCCTAGTCGAAGTGCGAACACTTTTCTTAGAAGGCAAATTGAAACGTATTTCTGCTATGTGCGTTGAAAGCACCGGCGCCAAATTGCTCTTGGGCACCGAAGGTGGAAATATATATCCCTTAGATTTAGTCACGTTCACAACGACGGATGATATCATATATCAGGACGTAGTTATGCAACAGTAAGTTAAATTGACTAATATATTACTTGAAATATAATATTCTTAAGAGAATTGAAAGTTAATATTGCAATAAATTGTTTTATTATATAATTTTGACCAAATTTTCTGAAGTCGATTACATTGACACCATGCATAGCAGATTTATTATTTGTTTTATCTAAACAAGTTTTTATTTATTGCACAGTTGACTTAAATAAATTTTTTATTTAATATTTTTTTAATTATTCTAATGAATTAGTTTTATTCCATAATTGCATTAATTTGAAAATTTTATGACTTAATTATATTCATTATATTCAACATTATTTCCATTAAATCGTGGTATTTTATTCAACATGTCTTGATTCATCTACAGCGTTCCAGAATCTTACAAGTTGACACCAGGAGCAGTGGAAGCTATTAGTGAACGTCCTGGTCATCCGGATCAATTATTAATTGGTTATTCTCGAGGATTAGCAGTATTATGGAATAAAACTAAAAGTGCCGCAGCTGGTTCCTTTGTTTCATCACAACAATTGGAAGACGTATCATGGAACTCAGATGGTTAGTTAAGACGGCGGATATTACACACTTAAAAACGTTATTATTTTGCATTCATGTAATAATATTGCAGGAAAAAAATTTACATCTGCTCACAACGATGGCAGTTATTGCGAATGGGATGTAGTAGATGTTACAATAAAAGCACCAGTTACTCCATATGGCCCTTATCCTTGTAAAACTATTCCCAGGATTATTAGAGGTATGAGAAACGATAATGCACTTATTGTCTTCTCTGGTGGGATGCCAAGAGCCAGTCATGGTGAAAAGCACACAGTTTCAGTAGTAGACTTTGGCAAAGGCGAGGATAAACCTGTGGCATTTGATTTCACCAGTAAGGTAAGTCAATGATTTATTGTGTGTAATATTATAGATTTAATATTTATTTATCCAACTTATTACTAATTTTTATTTATTTATTTATTATCGTCTTCAATGCAAAATTGTCATTTTCAGGTTATAGACTTCTTTCTGGTCGATGCATCAGGACACACTCCTCAAGCACTGATCGTTTTGTGCGAAGAGGAATTAGTAGCCATAGAATTAAATTCTGATAATTGGTGTCAATTGCCGCCACCTTACTTGGTGTCATTGCACGCCGCTGCCGTAACATTTTCACAACACGTTTCAAATGTACCACAATGGCTTTGGGATGATATTATCAACGCTGGTAAATCACAAATGGAAAAGGTCAGTTTAAAAAATATTTTGTTATGACTATTTATATTTTTTCATTTAACAATCAAGCCAACTTTCAAATTAATTATGCAATTTATTTCTTCAAACGCTTACAATATTTGGATCAGAGATTTAAGGTATATATATATATATAAAGACACAAAGAAGTTATATTCTATAGTTGAACCGAAAAAATGTTGATGTAATTCTAAATGTATATATAAATATTATATATACATAAATGTGTGTGTATTTGTATGTTTATTTAAGTGTGAATATATGTATATAATATATTATTTATCTGCCAATTTGAGCCAAATGTGTGTCAAGCTGATTGCCTACATTTGTCATCTGCTATCTGACCTAAAGATATACTTAATTTTAGATTTAGAGACAAAATATTACAATTATATTTAAGATAAGTTTAGTGTTTTAATATTAGAGTAAGGTTCAATTAATTGCCTGTGAATTTAAGTTCTACCTTTCTCTTTTTACCTAATGCAAACATGTTTTAATAATGTTCAGGTTTATTCTGATATGCAATGGCCCATATCTGGTGGTGTTATTAATCCACCCGCTGATGGCGATGGTGCTCCACGCGAGTTACTCTTAACCGGGCACGAAGATGGTTCTGTCAGATTCTGGGACGCGTCGGGTGTTGCTCTTAGCCCTATGTATAAATTTAGTACCGCTGGTATTTTTAGCACTTTAGTTGACGATCTCGATGATGGCCCGCCTCCAGATGACGGCGAAGAGGAATGGCCTGTTCTCAAACGCGCCGGTGTATTTGACCCCTATTCCGATGATCCTAGGTAATTCATTATAGTTTTAAAGCTTTTAAATTGTTTTATTGCAATGTTTATTTTTTTTTCAGATTAGCTATCAAGAAAGTTTGCTTGTGTCCAATGTCTGGCATATTGGCAGTCGCTGGAACTGCTGGACATGTAGTTATGGCCAAAATCAATGGTGAAGCAACTGAACTAAAAGTACTGTTATTCCAATGAACTTTTTATAAAGTAAAACGTTTTTCAATATATTTTTTCAAATGTATATTTGTTCTTTTGTTACAGGTCACAACTATGAATATTGTGTCAGACCGCGATGGTTTTGTCTGGAAAGGTTATGATGAATTGACTGTTAAAAGTACAACTCCGCCCACTGCGCCAGGATTTCAGGTTAATTCAAATCCTATCAGAATATTAAATTAATTAAATGTATATTTATTGAATATTTTTTATTGTATGTTTAGATAAGTGGAGTCTTGCAATTGCATCCTCCTGCTGCTGTTACCTGTTTGGCCCTACAAGCTGATTGGGGTTTGGTATCTGTTGGAACCGCTCATGGAATGGCTCTCTATGATTATTGCAGACACAAACCGGTTACAGTGAAATGCACATTAAACCCTCTTGGTAATTGTATGTTTTGAATCTTTTAAATGTATTGTATGTGAAATCATTTTAATGATAGGTATAATTTATTTTGTTTTAATTAATTTTGTAACAGATAAAACTTTGGCATCACATTTATATTTTTTTTATCATAGGTATGTTCTCAAATTTCATGTTTTAGACTTGAGCGGTGCGGGTGATACTCCAATTTCTCGTCGTAAATCGTTCAAAAAATCTCTGCGAGAATCATTTCGACGATTACGTAAAGGCAGATCAACACGACGCGCAGGTAACAAACGTGATGAAACGCAACCGGCAGCGCCTGCTAACACTGGCCCGCAGACTCCCGCGGAAACGAGACCCGTGGAAAGACAAATTGAAGCTAGGCCTGTTGATGATTCCTTAGGCAGTATGGTTAGATGCCTATATTTTGCTAGAACGTTTATTGCTAATTGTAAGTTTTTTTTATATATCTGATATACAATCGACATTTTTATGATCTCTGGTTTTTGTTTAACTATATTATCGATGTGGTTCTCTTGAGTAAATTAATGCAGATATATATTTTATTTCATAGTGCAAACAAGTAGTGCCACTTTATGGGCTGGTACAAATAATGGCACAGTGTACGTATTTACAATAAATGTGCCCTCTGGTCAGAAAAGAGAGCAGGATGATGTTACATGCCAGCTGGCTAAAGAAATTCAATTAAAACACCGCGCGCCGGTCATAGCAATCGCAGTTCTAGATGGAGCAAGTCAACCATTACCAGAGCCCTTAGAGGTATTTGAATTTAATTTATAACAATACCAACAATTACACACTATCACTTTTGAATTTTATTTTGAATAGGTAGAAAAAGGTGTGGCGCCAATTCCTGATTCAACACAACCACATAGAGTATTAATTGCCTCTGAAGAACAATTTAAAATATTTTCTCTTCCCAATCTTAAACCTTTCTGCAAGTATAAACTTACTGCTCACGAAGGTGCTAGGTAGGATATATACATATATACATATATTACTATATAGAATTTTTTTTAAATCAGAAAAAAAATCTTACATAATATTAACATAAAACGTTGAGTATTAGAATATTGGATATATTGTTAATTGATTGCACTTCTTGCTTTACAGAGTTAGACGTACTGGTTTTGCAACTTTCTCTTGCAATTTAGAATCCGGTGAATATCATGAAACTGGATTATTATGTTTGACAAATCTTGGTGACTTGCTGGTGTTGAGTGTGCCAGAACTCAGAAGACAATTAAATGCTGCAGCTATTAGAAGAGAAGATATTAAGTATGTTTTCTCTTGCATTTAATAAAATATCATAAATAACAAATTATCATGAATATATTAATTGCAGTGGTATATCTAGTTTGACATTTACACGAGCTGGTGAGGCTTTGTATTTACATTCATCTTCAGAATTACAAAGAATAACGGTTTCAGCTACGAAGGTAATTTAATGTAGTATTTTATTTTTATATTTACTTATCATATTGTGTATACCCAAATTTGTTATATTGTGATTTTATCTCTATAAATTAAAATTCAAATAAGATTTTTTTACACATTTAGGTTACATCAGCATGTTGTCATTTAAATCTTTCTCCTTCTGCACGTCCTGAATTACAACCTGCACAAACAGAACTTGATCAGGCCGATTCTGCAGCCGATGACAATGAAGAATGTGAAGAAACCCAAGGTGACAGCTCGATAGAGATTTTATCCAATGATGCATCAAAGGCCACACAAAAAATTATTGTCACTTCCGTACAAACTGTTAAGGAACATACAACTAACTTAACCAGTTCTACATCAAATACCACACAGCAAGTTAAAGAAAATGGTGAAAGGCTTGTAAATGGTGTTTTGGATTCTCCAAATAAGACAGAAACTTCTGGAAGCCAGGACTTGGATGTTACTATTACGAGCAGTGTGGGTGATATTACTATAGATTCCGTTAAAGATCACTTGAATTCAACTTTCATGAACATGACAACCCTTAGTGGCGGGGGCGATGATGTTAGCGGTAAGTGTTTTTTCAAAGCATAACTATATATATATAACTTGGACGCATATTTAAGCCTATTATATTTGTTTTATTAATAATCAAAATGAAATGATTTCATATTGATTTATGGAATATTTTAATAAATCTTTTACTTGTATGGAAGATAAAGAGAATATTTGAAAATATGCATGCATGTAGATAAATTTGCAATAATTTATGCACGGCTGACTTTCCTCATTCATACAAAGATTTTCTGTGTAGAATTTTCTATTGTGCATTCAAAATATATGCAGAAGTATAAAATATTTTTAAAAGTTTTTATAACACTAGCTGTACCCGTTCACGCTTTGCCGTGATTAAGTTTAAAATAAAAAGTTGAACAAAGATGTGTATTTGCTACATTTAGTTTAACGTTACTACTATCTGTTCAACAATTTACCTATTCAACAATTTGTCTATGAATTTACCTAGAAACTTGTTAATCAATCTACCATTTTACCGACTTACCAATTTACCTGTCAACCTATTTACCTTTCAACCAGTTTCACATGTCTACCAATTCACCTGACAACCTGTTTATCCGTCCTATTATTTGTCTAACTACCAGTTGTCCTGTCTACCATTTTACATATACTCCAATTTACCTGACCACCAGCTATCCAACATATTACCTTTTCACCAATTTACTTGTCTACCAATTCACCTGTTTATTAATTTACCTGTCTACCAATTTACCTATAGACCTATTTATTAATACACCATTTTACCTGTCAACCAATTTACCTGTTTTCCAATTTAACTGTCATACCGTTCTAAATGTCTACCAATTAACCTGTTCAATAATTTACCTGTTGAACAATTGACTGGTTTAACAATTTGTCTACAAATTTACCTATAAACCTGTTTATCAATCTACCATTTTACCGGCCTACAAATTTACCTGTCAATTAACCTGTCAACCTGTTTATTTGTCCTCATATTCGTCTATCTACCAGTTCTTCTCTCTACCATTTTACATATCCTTCAATTTACCTGTCCACCAGTTTACCTCTAATTCATCTTATGTATTTACGCATTATAAATAAATTAAAGCTCAAATTGATTCTACGTTTTAGTTAGAAAATGTTTGTATGTGAAAAAGAAAAGGGGCGTTTTTAGGGTTTTCCCGGTAACTATTTGATTTTTTCTTGCCGTAAGAACCATCCTTGAACATCAACGAACATTTTAAAAAAAGAATTGTCCAAATTGGTCCAGGCGTAGTTGAGTTATGCGCTTACCAACACATTTTGCGATCCATTTTTATATATAAGATGTAGGGTAAGATACACTAAAAATTGGTTATTTCACAAATCTTATGATATAGACTTGGCATTGTCTTCTACAGTTGATTTGATTTTATTAGTTTGAAAAAAATATTTCATGAATAAGGGTTAAAATATGTGTCAAAATATACATTATGAAGTATTAAAGAGTGTTAATTAAATTGTAATTGAAGTGAAGCTTTCAATTGCTTCTGAAGTTTATGGAAAAATATTTATTTTTATTCTTTCAATATTAATTAATTATGTTTTTACAGGCCGTCTTACATTTTCTAATATGCCTCAAGCAGTGGTCTGTAGTGTGATTGTAAAAACAACCACAACCACCATCAATAATTCATCAGGAAATTCTTTAACAACGACTGAAGTAGTAAATTCTACAAATTCTGGGATAACTAGTACACTTGAAAGTAAGTAATAATTCAAATTCAGTAAAATTTATTTATACTGTTAATGTATATTTTACTTCACTACAGATTTCTTTGGTTTAAAATGGTTATATTACAATGCTATTGATTGATATATACATAGCTCGAACCAGTTTTTTGAATTGAATTAATTATAAAATTAAACGAATTTTAAAATTTACCATATTATATTCGATCACTAAATAACATAAATACTATGTTATATATTAAACTATATTTATTGCTGTAGTTTGATATTGATCTTAATTAGCTATATGTATAGTGCGCTTTTGGTCTCCACGGTGTAAAACTGTCCTATTGTGTTTGTTATATTTGTTTGTAATAATACTTTGAGTTTTCATACAAAATTGAAACATTTTAGAAAATGCTATATGTTTGTATAAAGCACTGCTAGTAATAGAAACTATATATAAAAATTGTTTGTCGCTTATTTTGTAGCTGTAGAAACACGTGTAACCGGAGCTCCCAGCACTCGCATTGTTGAGGTTAGACAAAAATGAAAAGAAATATAACGATATAGCGCTTTTTTATTACTAATTTTACTAATACTCTGCTTATTAAAAACTGGGATTACGGTTTTATGTATTACGTACTTTAATATTACTAATATTGTGTTGTGAATTTAACTTTACACTCTCAATATTGTTCTGTACACATAGAACCAAATACTAAATTTGCAGTCATAAAAATGTTCATATTATATTTGCCATGATATTTATTATATCAACTTATTAATATAATTCAAATATATTAATTGTAAATAATTTGTGTATTTATACAAATGTACTCATCAATATTTAATAGGAATTTTCTGAGAACATCAATTTACTTTTATTTAAAAAATAATTAACAAAAAACATTTAATTTTTAATTATTAGTGCACAGAAAGCATTGTGCTATTTACATGTTTAAGAAGTAAATTGTAAATCATCAAACTTCTATTTCTAAACCTATAAATTTCCTCATCTGTGATACTGTTGCATGTTAACATTACGTAACCAATAATTGGATATGCCAATTTCTTTTCTTCAAAATTATAATATTATAAATGATAATGAATCTTTCTTTATTGAAGTAATTAAATATTTCTTTCTGAAAAGTTGTCAGTCAATTCTAATTATTACAATTTTTTTTTTTTTTTTAATTTAAAATATATTTTGATGTTTAAATATATTTATTTCTTTGGTAGTTTTCCAAAAAATATTGAATCAAACTTTCCTGGCTGTGGAGTTTTTAATAAATTCATTAATTTTCAGAGCTGTGGAGTTGATGTAGAAATAATTACAAAGCAAATTAATAAAACTTGTCTTTGTTATAAAGTTTGAAATCCAATTAACTATATTTAGATTTTTTCTTCAATGAAAGCTTCATGGCTCTGCAAATTTTAATGATGTTTTGTAAAACCTTACTAATATATAATGCATTTATATTTTATTTTTAAATAACATTTATTTAAATTTTTAGACTAGCTTATTCACATCAAGAGCTAATCCTCGTGCGCCGTTAGCTTGCGTTGAAGAAATGGAATCAGAAGGGATTCTACAAATGAAACGTGAAGGAATAAAACATAATCAAAGTATTAATAATAATATTTCACAAGTTCGATCAAACTTAATGAATTTTTCTATGAAAACAAAGCATTCCGAGAGCTGAATGCTGCATTTAACAAATTTTTGATACATTTTTTACAAACTAAGAAATTTATACAAATTCATGAATTCAAAATATCACTTATTTTACTAGTGTTAAGGAGATGTTTGAAAGTTCGATGCTTGAACATATATGACTGATTTAAAATGATTATTTTTTCATTTAACTTCATTTTTCATGAGATAGCATCGATTTAAATTATAGCATTTTATTTGAATTGAATTACAGTTGAGTAATTACATTATATATATTATATATATCAAAAAGATTGCCATATTATTAAGGATTTAATTTAAGAATTTTCATTTTTTATCACAAAATTATTAAAACTAATTTTACTGATTAAAGTTTATATTTCTAAATAAGCTGCTACTGTGAAATATCATAAGATTTGCTATGCATTTTAGTATTTTAAATATTTGTTAATGTATAAATTTCTAAAATATTTTTTATAATTAACATAAAATTATATGTGGCCTTGTAGTTGTAGATTTTTATAACTAAAGCAGATGTGTACATGAAACACTGCTTGTAGTTAATTTATATGGATTTTAAGATTTATTCATGTTAATTTTCAGTATTTTTACACACACTACATTATGTAGTGTAATTTACAAATTTAATTGAATGTTAATCATCTCTATTATCATTATTCATAAAAGAGCTATCATAAAATGGAAGGCAGCTGTTACTTTTTTTTAATTGGTGAAGGAAAAAATTTAGTTAAAATTTATTCTATCCTATTTTCAGAACTTTAGGATGCTTTTAGTCACAAAGTAATGTATAATGAGAACATTATTTATATTTTTATCTTAATGGTATTCACAAATATCTGTATTTGAGTAAAATCCATTACAGAGAAAGCTCTAAACACATTACTTTATGATGATCCAAAAAGAATAATCTGTTCCTAAGTTTTAAAGTTTTATTTAATATTCACATTATTTACTTACATTTCAATTCATTGATTTTTTTTCTGATTTTAAGATAGTTGTAAAGATAAACTTTGTGAATATAAAATTTGCAAAAAAAAAATATAAAATGATTGATACAACACAAAATATTTCATATTTATACATTAAATTGTAACATCACTTCAGAATTTATAATTCATGTATGCCTATCATAAATAAAAAGAGAAGAAAAATATCTTTTGGTTCAAGTTTCTTTTTCTTGTTTCAATAAATTTTAATACTGAGCTTGCTTGAATTGAAGCTTATTAACAATTATTTCTTTTTAAACAATTGTCTTAACTTCTTTATATCTTCTTCATCCATTAGAGCTGGATGGTCTGGTAATTCAAAGTCTTTTACTTTAGGTTTTTTTGCTGGTAAGCTCTTTCTTGTCTTAATTGGAATCTTTTTTGTTTACTACCAGCACAGCACTTGTTATGAATATTTGAAATTTTTGTTGTGTTATTACTTTCTTCATTTTCTTCATTTTCGTTGGAACTGGAAAGAGTTTCTGCCTCAGTGTTAGTAATATCTGAAGCTTTATTTGAATTTTTGTAATTGTAAGATTTAGTCTCAGACACGAAGATATTCTTATTAGCTGAATGTAGGGTTACAGCTTCTAACAATCCACTTTTATGCTCTGATGGATTGTATTCATTCAATATCGGTACTCCTATAACAATAAAAACAATACATTATCTGATTTTAGATGCATTGAAATAATAAAAGTTGTTCCAAATATTTTTTTCTCAGTGTTTTCTAAATGTGTATATATACATTTTTATTTATTTATTATAGATCAATAACCTTCTAAAACTGAACGAATGAATGCTGTTGCCTCTGCATTTAATGTACTATTTAAACCCTGACTAAAGTGAAAAGGCTGCAATAACTCTGAAACAGCTAATGCTTGAACTATCATTATATTATCTGTAACAAAATTAAAGTTATAACAAATAGAACTGAGTGAAATAAATCCATTTCAAAAGATTCATTTACTTCCTGGAATGATAACAAATCTTCCATACACAAATGAATTTTTATCCTGTGTATCATAATATTGTTTACATAATAGACATTCTTCATTAGTTCCGAGGCTGTAGCATAATGCTCGAAATCTATTTGAATTTTCAGTTAACTTATCAAAGTTAATATTGACAGAATTGTTGCTGTAATTGTATATGGGACTCCTATTACTGATATGTCGGACAAAGCTGAAAAGATTAAAACATGCAGTTTGGTAGATATACACTGTAAACTTATAAGTTTATCAATAATTTGTTAACATTGATCAATTAAATAGTTCACCTCCTTGTGGAAGTCGGTTTATAACTTCTAATGTATGCAAAGGCACTGTCACATTTGAAGCAGTTCTACTTGAGCCTCCTAATTGTACAGACATTGCATCTGTCTTAAACATAAACATTAATTAACACCATCATCATGAAACTGATCTATTTATAAAGATCTTCCATTAAATGATAAATTCATACAAAAATTATAACATTTTTATGTGAATGAATGAATATAGCTGATATGGATATTTATTTATTCACCTGTAATTGAAATACATGGCCATAAGGCATTATGCATGGGTTCAAAACGCATTCTTGCAGATTACATTCCAGACTAAAATTTCCAAAAGTGTTGGGAAACTTAAGAACTAAATCTGTCTTAAAACTATAATCTCTCAGCCATTCTTTAAGTAAACTTCAATGGGACAATTAATAATCTGCATTAAACATAAAAAATTATATAATTTAGTAGTGAGCATAAAGATTGAATTAATAGAACCAACCTGAATAAAATCTGCAGATGTAATAGCATTACTCTGAATATTATCTCGACTGCGCAATGATTTTATGAAAATATTATTAATTTTGGTCAGGTTAGATTTTCAATTACAGATGTAAATACATTCAAAGTGTAATAAGCATCTTTCATTGTTATAAAGGTAATTTGTATTGAATTAGGGCATTTGACATTGCTGTTCTTTGCACGAGCAGGCAACCCATTAAAATCATTAATTATGCATTGCACTGATAGTTCTAGATTGTTTTTAAATTCGGATAGCGGTTGAGGACTATCCAATGTTATGGTTTTAACTGACAATAACCCATTTTAATCGATGAGAAATTAGTCTTTACAAAGTCTAATCTATGAATTATATAAAAATCTTTAGCTATTGCATATATACCACATGCAGGAATTCTAACAGAACCTTTTAAAGTTTCAGATAATTTTAATATGTTGATGACATCCTGAAAATAAATTATCATAAACCATGTTTTCTATTTAGTTATTTTATGGGATTTACACATACATTAATGATATTACTGATAGACTCTGATGGAATTGTTGGATATAAGTCGATCAACAGGCAATGTCCGGGTTGCGTAGAAAATACTTCTCTTCTCGTAGAATTCATATAGAATTAGATAAAGGTTTATTATATTGCATTTACAATGATCTCATTTAAAATG